ACTTATTCAGCAAGTTAAGGAAGCAAAATTATTGGGTATCACCCTGGATAATAAATTGTCATGGTCAAAGCATATTGAGAACACAGTGAAGAGAATGGGAAGGGTAGTAGCTGTAGTAAGGAGATCAGAAAGTTATTTTACGTTTGATATAATGAAAATAATATTGGTCACTCTGTTCTTCTCACAGCTGGGACTATTATCAGATAATATGGGCCAATGCTACAAAAAAAGGATTTGAGGAAACTCCAGTTGGTACAAAATAAGGCAGCGAGATTAATCCTCCAGTGTCCGTATGGTACGAATATTAATAGTATGCACTTTGATCTTAAATGGCTAAGAGTGGAAGATAGGATGATCGCTGCAATACGGTTATCAACATGGAAGGTTTTACACTTTAAAACTCCATTGGATGAGTATAATCAATTACAATCGAATGTTCAGTCACATGAATATGCTACTAGACGAGCAACAGAGGGTAGATTTCTACTCCCTAATGCTAAAACTAATTTTCTTAAACGTACAGTAACATTTAGGGCAATGAAATCATGGAGTTTTTTACCATTGTCATTAATTGGGATAACACAAAAAATGGATTTTAAAAGGCAGGTAAAGGCACACCTTGGAATTCTGTACTTGCAGGAGGTTGAGTATAGGAATTAATTGAATGAGCAATATGTTTTAGGTGTTATTAAAAAGGGTGAAAGAAATGTTTATTAGAGATGCTTTGGAATGTGGAGAATGCATTTTTACATATTTTCTTAGTTTTCTTAATGCATGTATTAATGTTTGAATGTTAAGTGTTGTGTGGACCCCAGGAAGACTAGCAATGATTTAGGGCATAGCTAATGGGGATTGGGGATCCAAATAAATAAATAAACAAATAAATAAATACACAGGGAGATTCAGATTAACAGGAGAATCAAAATCAAAGTGATTTCGCCAATATTAGGCAGAACAAGTAATTTACAGATGAACTGACAACATCAGAGTGTCTTGCACAAAGTCTCTTGATCTACATTTTACAGTTCATTGCACTGTTGTGTGCTTTTGTCAATGACAAGAATGAGAATTAATGAGCTGGTTAAGTTGCTGTGCAGAATTAAAACGCACTGCAATAAATGGCAAAAGCAAGCATCTCCAGTATTTCCACAAGACTAGGAGAAAAACTACATGAATGCTTAGTATTCGGTACACTACCATGTATACTGGAATATTTCAATAACAGAAAACATCTTAAGTGAAATATTGACTTTAATCAGAAAATTATGTGCACATAAAAGTGATCATTTAAAGTAGGGATGCACGATATATCGGCCACCATATCGGTATCGGCCGATAAATGCTCATTTTTTCTGTTATCGGTATCGGCCCGATAAGTAAATTTGGCCGATATCTTTAAGCCGATAAATAATGCATTATTTCCTTCAGAGACACTTCAGACGCACGCTGTTCGTTTGCGGCCTTTTGTGCAATTGTACGTTGTAATATTGTGTTTATTTGATGTATATCTGATTTATCTCACATAGAATGCATTTGGTTAAGTTAAAAGAGCGCTTCAGTTTACCGTGATAAACTCAAACAGCAGTGCACAACATTAATAACTATGATTGGGAATGTCGTGTATATAACATTCTAATTAGAAAATTATTATAATAAAACGTTGTGAATTCTTTGGGTTTAGTTGCCGTGTTTCAGCGCGTTGTTATGGGAAGAGTGCATCCACAACAGGATCACACATTCTGACTATAGCACGCCATAACTGCGTCATTTTGTACATATATAAGTTGTATTATTATGTTTATGTTGTATTAATATTAATCTCAGGATGCATTTCCTTGAGTTAAATAAGCTGCCAGCAAAACGCTTCAGTTTACCGTGTTCATTCAGCTCTTCAGCTTCAGCACGCGCAGCTCAAACGGCTGCTGTTTAAAACAGTGGTATTAATTTGTTACTTTTTCATAATCATTGATACATTATTAATAATAACAACCACTTGTATTTTTCTGTTATTATTTTCATCAGCAATATGGTTTAGTAATTAAAATCATTTAATTATTGTCTGTGCAGAGGCCATTCCATTTTATTGGTGGCGCATTCATTTTGATTCTTTACACGTGTAATGATGTCCAATGACTTGTTTGCATTATTTATGCATTATTTTATTTTTTTGTAAGACTTTTTTATGACTAAATTTGGTAAGGGGAGAGTAAAATTATTTTTAAAACGTACACCGTTCAAACTAGGCTGCTTATGTTGAAGTGTTCGGGATGTGGTTTTTAATGATGAGACCTTTTTTGTAATCAGGCTCTCAAAAAGTATATAAAAATTTGGATATAGATTTATCGGCCAACATATCGGTTATCGGCTTTCAAAAATAAAGAATTATCGGTTATTGGTATCGGCCAAAATTTTCATATCGGTGCATCCCTAATTTAAAGTTAAATACAGCAATCACTTGTGCATGAATATTGTGATGCACGTGCATGTGAACACGTTCTGGTGTTAATGGCCCATCTTCCTCTTCAAGAATCCATTAGCATGCCTTTTGTTCTCATAGCAACAATAGGGTCAATGTTCGGTCTACAGCGATGCATTCAGATAGAACAGAATGACTGACGTAAGAACGAGAGGCTAAGCAGGGGATAAAAGATCACACAGAAATTAGAAAATTTCAAAAGTAATGTCCAACAGTATCCTTGAATGGTGATAAACGAACATTAATACTGCACATATGCCAAATCTGTGGCATAGTCAGCCTCACCTGAACGCTGCTCAGATATCAATTTGTTGAACACACATCCAGCTCAATGAGTTTGGAGGGCACTGAGGACAGAGCAGTGTGTGTGTGTGTGTGTATGCTTAACAGCGGTTTAATTGATTCATTCAGAATTCAAGAGGCCCAACACTTACTGAATGGGCCAAATAGCCAAAGAGTATTGTCTACATCAAGATTTCTCTGCCTAATATTTTCTGCCCACTGCAACCTAACTAGTTAAGTTAATTTTATTTGTAATGCATTTTTCACAAAAGACATTGTTTCAAAGCAGTTTACATAAATCACGACATTATTTTCTATATAATCTATGTAATCACTTTATGTGTGCTGATAAAGTTGGATATACTTCTATATCGAGCTTTGTATAGAGAGAGAGATGTGCGACAATTCAGTTTACATTTTACAATGATATAAACCAGGTTTTCCCAAACAGGGGTTTGTGAGATAATAAAAAGGCAATAATTAATTAAATCGAATGCAACATGAGAATAAACAAGGAGAAGCACAAATAATCTAAATAAAACCGAACTTGATACATCTTATCAAATCGAGATTATCAAATCAATGGCTGATTTAATTAAGTATATAATCTGTTACGCTGAGTGAAGAGTGGCAATGTGTTCATTTACGTGATTGCGGCTCATAACAGAGCCACTCAGTTCACAGTAAATGTTGCTTCTCACAAACCCCATTTCTGCAAACTCTGAGTTTAATGTGCATTTGAGAATGTCATGTGCGCTATGTTCACTTTATTTATATTCACATTTACATAACTGTCAACATTTTTGTGGGCAGTTGTTTATAGCATAAGTTTCTTGTATAGAGTGAAGTCTGAATGCCTTTAAAAGTAACTATTTCCATTAGCAGTAGAGTATTTGTTCTTTGTCTCTGGGTGTCTCAGCAGTAGTAATATGAAATTTGGTTTATGGATAAAATATCATAGTTCAAACCCCAATATATGACAGAAAAAAAATAGTAAATTGTGGTTTCCTGCACCATTTTAAATTCTATACAGGTGCATCTCAAAAAATTAGAATATCATAAAAAACATTTTTTTGTAACATTTCAAAAAGTTAAAACTTTCATATATACTAGATTCATTACATATAAAGTAAAACATTTCAAAAGTTTTTTTGTTTTAATTTTGATGATTAGAGCTTATAGCTCATGCAAGTCAAAAATCCAGTATCTCAAAATATTAGAGGGTCATTCAGTGTCAAATCAACCAAATTTCAAAAACTTCCCCTGCTCAAATTTTTGGATTTTGCTAATATTATTTTCCAAAGAAAGATAGACATGTATAGTGATGAAAGCCAAAATATTAAATGTCATGGATGAATATTTACGGAGTAATCAGAGTCAAATTACAGGGGATTAAAAATCTCTTTAAAAAGATGGTAGCATCATAATGTTAATTTTACACAGAGATTGGTAGGTCTGTTAGTAAAATCTGTTGACTTCAGCAATCTTTGGACAGGTATGTTCAATGCAGTTGTCCTGACAGAAGGAAAAAAAGATACATCTCTGGTTTCAACATTATTTGTTCTTTAGACATTCCTCTTTAAAGGAAAATCATATTAAAATAAATCATATAAAAAGTATCATATTTTTGCAAACTGAGCCATATTTGGTTTTTGACCACTGAAAATGTGTACATTTTAACGATTTACTCCTGGAGCCATATTAAAATTCCAATATCTCTGAAACTGAACCATATAGGGCCTTAAAAATAAAGATGCCAAAAGGAAAGTTTGTTAAGACCCAATATCTAAAAGGGCATTAAGATATCTTTAATACTTCTTGAGTTACAGGCATGCAAACCTTGGAGAAAAAAAACGTATTTTTGTTCTTATATCTTGTTTCCCCATTTTTGAATGGTCACCATTGGCACATAATGCAACAAAGATTGCTGAAGTCAACAGATTTTACTAACAGACCTACCAATCTCTGTGTAAAATTAACATTATGATGCTGCCATCTTTCTGAAGTAATTTTTACCCCCTGTAATTTGACACTGAATCTCAGGTGAAAACTGCCATTTTGACCCTCCTCTACAAAATAGTGGATTACGCCGTAAATATTCATCCATGACATTTAATATTTTGGCTTTCATCACTATTCATGTCTATCTTTCTTCAGAAAAAATATTAGAAAAATAAAAAATTTGAGCCAGGGACCTCTGGTTGAGTTGACACGGAATGACCCTAGAATATTTCCTAAGAAAAATCAAAAAAAGAATTTACAAAACAGAAAAGTTCAAGTTCTTTCAACTAAGTTCATTTATGCACTCAATACTTGGTCGGGGCTCCTTTAGCACAAATTCCAGCTTCAGTGAGGTGTGGCATGGAAGCGATCAGCTTGTGGCACTGCTGAGGCACTAATGAGCCTCCAGCTTGTCTGTATTGTCGGATCGACTGTTCTCTCTCTTGAAAATATCCCATAGATTCCATATGGGGTTCAGGTCAGGCATGTTGGCTGGCCAATCAAGCACAGTGATATCATGGTCAGCAAACCACTTGGAAGTATTGGCCCTTTTCCTGAAGACGTCTGAGCGTGGTGACTCTTGATACACAGACTCCACCTTCAGTCCACTCCTTGTGAATCTCTCCCAAGTGTTTGAATCGGCTTTGCTTGACAGTATTCTAAAGCTTGCGGTCATCCCTGTCGCTTGTGCACCTTTTCCTACCCAATTTCTTCCTTCCAGTCAACTGTGCATTTAATATGCTTTGATACAGCACTCTGTGAACAGCCAGCCCTTTCAGTAATGACCCTCTGTGACTTACCCTCTTTGTGGAGGGTGTCAATGATTGTCTTCTGGACCATTGCCAAGTCAGCAGTTTTCCCCACTATTGTGGTTTCAAAAAACAAGAGATACTCGGAATTTATACTGTAGGGATGGTCACTTAATGAAACTCAAATGTAAATATTCTAATATTTTGAGATACTGGATTTTTGACTTTCATGAGCTGTAAGCTCTAATTATCAAAATTAAAACAAAAAAAACTTTTTAAATGTTTTACTTTACATGTAATGAATCTAGAATATATGAAAGTTTCACTTTTTGAAATAAGTTACAAAAAATTAACTTTTTCACGATATTCTAATTTTTTTAGATGCACCTGTATAAGATTAATTTTTCTCTGCTTACTTGCATGTCATGTGACCAATTACCAACATCAGAGAATAATTGTCCGTTACAGAAGCGCAAGCCAAAATTCGAAGACTTGCCAAAAACACAGACAGACAGACAGACAGACAACGGGTTAAAATAGTAGTAGAGTTTACAACAGCAATATGGAAGCCTGAAAACGCAAACGGGGAGCTTTGAAAATGAGTTTCAAATTGCTGGCCTGGCATGTATAATACAGCGTCTTTAGTAGTTTTTGTGGATCTGTATAAACAGGAATTGTTTTATGATTACGTTTCCATCTGTATGCAAAGAACTTTGTGCTTTTAGTATAATCGTTGTCATGTAAACGTACCCTCAGGTTTAAAGCCTGAGTTGACAGAGAAAGTTCATGATCAGTGTACCTGAGTGAACAGGGTATCGTCAGCTCAAAACTAACTCTGTAACCCTGAGTATTGAAGATCTCTAAAAAAAAATCTGATTAAAAACCTTTTGATGGGTCATAGCTGAAGAAAGACTGATTCTTACCTGACTCGCAGACGACAGAGCCCGGTTTGAGCTCCAGCATCAGTGTGATGTTGGCAATGTCTGTGGTGTAGAGGATCTGTGTTCGGTGGGGAAGGTTGACAGTCCACAGCTCTGGTGTGGGGTGCAGCACGTAAACCCAACCACCCTTACTGCAGGTCACTTTGGAACCAAACCGCTGTCCAATCAGGTCGCTGGAGTGCCGGATGACCCCATAGCGGGTCTGCGTCTGAGCTCCCGACTGAACTTTGATAGGCATCATGGACTCATGACCCAGGAAGATAATGACGACATCCCCTTCTTGGATGATCTCGGAGTATTCCACAAAACTCATGAGGTTCAGGGGGGTTCAGCTTCAATGAAGAGTGCAGCCTCGGATGATTAAACACTCTGCCATGAATGAAAACACATGAACACATTATTCTCATAAGTTGGGAGACAAAACATTTACATTCACTCATATTACTTTATAGACCTAATTAAATATTCATACCAACTTAAAAAAAAATTAAAAATTAAATAAAATAATATAGTTGTTTTTTATAAAACAGACTTTTAGGAATGTTCTCCCTCTCTGGTCAAACTCAGATACTTTATTAATAGTTAGACGATTATGAACACAATGGCAGGATGTCAAAAATGATGCCAATTATGAGCTAAGGTCAAATGAAAGTTGTCAGTCTTTTTAAATCCTGAAAATGTGACAATTTCTGTAGTTTTAGAGAGAGAAAAATCAACAAATACCAACAAACATTACAAATCCACTGTGCTGTCACTTCTTGCAGGCGTCTTGCTGGCTTTCGTCAGAGGTTGATTACCAAAACAATGTTCTCAAGACAGCCGGGGGTTTTTCTTCCAATTATACAAATGTAAAAATGAAATAGACACACTTGAAATATTTCTTTTTTTTTAATGTTAAGTTTATAAATTACACAAAAACGCCCAAACCAATGAAATAACACACGTCTAATATTACTATTAAGAAAATATATATTTGAGTTAAATTGATGTTGATTTATATACAGACACACACATATACTTATACAACCCTATAAATAAAGCAATAGAAATTATTGTAAATAATGATGACATAGTTGACGTATAACATGATCATAATTTTATAGATGACAATAAATAAATAAATAAATAAATACATACATATAAATAAGTTATGACAACCATGTTGTACGTCAACCACTCAAAGTGTGTTTTGATTTAAATGATCGCAAACCGTTAGTAGCAGCCTGTCAGACTCAACATTGCCAGCATCTGTGTATCTGCAGTCCTGAGACGGTTCATAACAGCAAAACAAATGGGTCAGATGTAAGTTAACCCGTTAATAATCCATTTACTCATCTCTGTGAACATTTCTATTATTTTATGTGTAAGACTCAGCAAGGTCACCGTCCACAAAGACGAGACGAACAAGAGAAACTGAGTGGCTAACGTTAAATGCGCTAAACAGCGGAAAATTATTGTAAATAATGATGACATAGTTGACGTATAACATGATCATAATTTTATAGATGACAATAAATAAATAAATAAATAAATAAATACATATAAATAAGTTATGACAACCATGTTGTACGTCAACCACTCAAAGTGTGTTTTGATTTAAATGATCGCAAACCGTTAGTAGCAGCCTGTCAGACTCAACATTGCCAGCATCTGTGTATCTGCAGTCCTGAGACGGTTCATAACAGCAAAACAAATGGGTCAGATGTAAGTTAACCCGTTAATAATCCATTTACTCATCTCTGTGAACATTTCTATTATTTTATGTGTAAGACTCAGCAAGGTCACCGTCCACAAAGACGAGACGAACAAGAGAAACTGAGTGGCTAACGTTAAATGCGCTAAACAGCGACTTCGATTCTATGAGAGCACAAGCTATGCTCGATTATTTAGAGAGATATACGTCTTTTTTTACAAACAGCATGTTTACAGGAGGGCTACACTTAATATACAATAACGGGTTTTGAAATACAATCCATTACATCGCAAGCAAACTTATTTATTTTCAAAGAGTAACGTTAACTTCACACAGTACGTTACGCATGCGGTGCTTGAATGGAAACGCGTCACATGTTTGAACATACATCGCTCGAAATAAAGATATGTTTAACACAAAGAAAGTCGCAGAAACTCACCGTTGCTTCAGCAAGGCTGTAGTTCAATATTTGGGAAGGAGTAGAAAGACAGTACAGCACGTGTGTGCGGTAGTTAGCTCGATAAAGCGCGTGTAAGTTGCGAGCAGACGCGGTCTACAGAGCGGCTCTTCAGCTCATGTGGATGGACTCCAGCTCGTGTGAAAGCCTTGCTGTCCTTTTACAAATCCACGACGTCAACTTCACACGACCCAGTCTGTCACGGGAAAATGATGTAAGAGCATTTTAAAGGAGCAGTAACGTTTTCTGTTGCATAAAACAAATATTTCCGTGGTGGTATAGATTCACTAGGTCGGTGTTTTCCAGTGTCGTAACCCAAATAATAAAGCTGAAGTAAGTTATCCTTTCAAATCAGAAATGTGTTCCTTTTAAAGGGGTCATATGATGCGATTTCAAGTTTTCCTTTCTCTTTGGAGTGTTACAAGCTCTTGGTGCATAAAGAAGATCTGTAAAGTTGCAAAGACTAAAGTCTCAAATCCAAAGAGATATTCTTTATAAAAGTTAAGAGTCAGCCACGCCTACCTAAAACGGCTCGTTCTAACACGCCCCCACATGTCTACGTCACAATGTGGGAAGATTTGCATAACGCCGCCCAAATGTTCACGCAAAGAAAGAAGGCGTAACTTTTATTCTCGCTGTAGTATTGTTGTTGCCGCCGCCATGTCGTGAAGGCGCTGCGTGCTTCGTTGTGAAAGCAAAACTACTTTATTTGGTCTTCCAAAAGAGGACGATATCCGCTTCGTCATGCCTAGAGCACAACACTGTTCCAGAACAGTTCAACCCAAATATTCAGATGTGTGCAGCGCATTTTATGGAGGACTGTTTCCTGATCCTGGTAGAGTAGACTACAATGCCGGCTGTTCTGACTCACAGACTGTAAGTACGTTTTTTTATATATAAAGAATTTGCCACTGACGATTCAAACGCGAGTTTTGGGCAGTGTAGAGTAGCGCTTGTTTGTCATTTCTCCGATCACAAATGCAGACATGGTTTTATGTTTACGCGGCGCGATGCAACACGTAAAAAGACAGTATAAGCATTATCCGTAATTATGTCCCCACTGGATGCAACGAATGCCTCGTTTATAATGGGTTTTAATGTTTTTGTCTCATCGCTCCATAATGTGTATGATTTAGCATTATAAATAACATTATTAAAGACACATTTAAGCAAAAACAATTCATATTGTGGGTGACAAACGGCAAACAACACATATACATCCACACAAATGTCACACATTATACATTGTTCTTTGTTTTCATCTCAATCTACTACATATATTTTTTTACAGGTCAAACACTTTCGAAGTCAATTGCATGGGAATTACTTGATTAGGATATAAACTTAATTCAATTAAACTGACATTTTCTTATAATTATATATTTGCACATTTTATACTACATATTTCAAGCTCTTCCAATGGGATGAATGGACTGCAAATAGCAGCCAATGGGAGCGCGGCTTTCCTCTACTATAAAACAAACGCTCCATCAGGATCTAGCGCTGGAGAACAGACAGACGCCGCTTCAACATTCATACTGTTCATACTCCTACCGGAAAAATAGGGATCTTTGTCTCAGCTCAGTCTTCCTCTAGCTCTAGCACCCCACAACCCACGGTAAGGCTTCATTGAGAAGTTTTCATCTCTCATTAAACTAGTTGCTTAAGCGTGATCGAAATTTAAGACGTATTAAGAAATACATTTATAAACGGCGCTGAATGATTCTGGATAAGCTTTAAGACTTGGTTTTTAGTGCATCGTTGTATGAAGGGAATTTGACGCACGGAGAGGGATCGATCGGCTCAGTGTTAGAGATGAATGTTAAAAATAATCTTTTATGAATTGAGGTCCTATATCATGCTTTTTCTGAACATTTCTAGGCTTTTTGTGAAAGAAAGCGTCCTATTTGCAGGTCATGATCAATGACAGCTCACTCTCTCTCTGTCGTTGAAGTGGTGCCGTCCAGTGGACGCCCAGTTTTAAGTCATCGATCGTACTTTTGCGCAAAAGTTTAGGCATTTCGGTGCAAGTTACAGCACAACGATGAGCAGATATTTCGTGTTGAAATAGACCTGAACCATCTGGCGAGCTTTCCCAAATTCACCCTTCAAGAAGGAATGGGAATTTTTTCCCCCGATTCCTGTCAACGATTCCGGATTCTTTTAGTAGTTCTGAGTATGAAACATTTGGAATAATAATAATAATAAGAAGAAGAATTTCTTATTACATTATACCATCATCCGTTTGTTGCCAACTGATGACATCGTTTCAGATTTTAACAGATATAGCAAATTAAAAAATCATGTAATACAATTATTTCAAGTACATATAAGGAAGGCCTACATAGATTTTAAATAACTTTTCACATCATGAAAAGTCTCAATTCTTGGTTCAATTCCAGTCAGACATAACGAAAGTAATAACTTTCGGTTCATATAGAAGTCGGATTCATTCTGTAACAACTCAGACTGATGCGTCTTTGATTCACTATAAAGAATCGACTCATAAGAATCATTCATTCGGCCATCGTACTTCATTGTATGTGTATGATTCACTAAAACGAATCAGTTTATAGGAGTCATTCATCACGCTGTAGATTCTAGAGTCCTAGGCATAGCGGCTAAATAGGGCAACAATTTACAGTGTTTTTAACATTTATTTATTACACGTTTTACTATATTTAAGGATGGTGTTTATGTAGATAAAGGATTTCCTACCCTATGACAATTTCTGTGGAACCATGGCACATATTTGATATTTTCAGTTGTGTAATGTAACACTAATCACGTGCATAAAAGTAGGTAGGCCATAGAACTCTTTCACTGCGTCCATATTTCTCAAAAAAAGTATTTTCCAGATTCATTCAAATGTCAAGACGGGAGTTAGTGTTGAACCTCTTGGTTTAATTTCACATTCAGTGTAACCACAGTTATTTTCCATCCCATTCCCACCACCACACTCAGGGAACAGCAGCCATGCCTTTCGGGAACAGTCACAACCAGCTGAAGATGAAGTTCTCCTCTGAGCAGGAATATCCCGACCTCAGCAAGCACAACAACCATATGGCCAAGGTCCTCACACCGGCACTGTATGAGAAGTTGCGCTCCAAACAGACACCCAGCGGGTTTACACTGGATGATGTAATCCAGACCGGGGTAGATAACCCAGGTAAAGATCCGTGAAACAACTTTGAAACAACTCAAAGTCCTCCAAAAGACCACTTCTCATGCACTTTTAGAACATAAAGGTGCATTGCGAGCAGAAAGAAGTGTGATTAAACGGTGACCTTGCTGACTCATTGTTTTAGTGCAGAGGGCTTCGAATAAAAACAGTTCCTGTATAGATAAGACCAAAATGCAGGGGCATGGAAAATCCAATTCTAGCTGGCCACATGAAGACTTGACCTGAAAAATATCATGAACGTTCAGCTTTCTTAGTCAATTTAACAGTGTATTTGGTGAAACAAATGGTGCTTGCTTACCCATTCAGAACACAACAGAACAGTTGACTTCATCCTTCGACGGCAGTGCGTGGTATTTTCACACCCCATGTGTTGTTGTATTTATTTAGCAATGCTAAACTAGCCAGGTTGACCATCAAGCAGCGGCCAGCTGAGGAAGAGTATCCAGACCTCACACAGCACAACAACCATATGGCCAAGTACCTCACTCTGGACATGTACAAGCGCCTCCGTCAGCGCTGCACACCCAACGGCTTCACCATAGATAACGCCATTCAGACTGGAGTAGATAATCCTGGTAAAAGAACACACATAGTCTGTCAGGGGACAGGGCCAGGGTTAGATAGTCCTGAGAGAAATCACATGATGTTAAACATGGATTTTTTTAGTAGGCCTAAGTGTTGGCATCTGATTGCATGGCTCCTAATTTGTGTACATGGACTTGTTTCCCATCTCAGGCCACCCCTTCATTATGACTGTGGGTTGTGTGGCTGGGGATGAGGAGACCTATGAGGTGTTCAAGGAGCTGCTGGACCCTATTATTCAGGACAGACATGGAGGATACAAACCCACAGACAAACACAAGACCGACCTCAACCCCAGTAACCTCAAGGTATGACGTTGAAGGGACAGATCATCCAAAAATAATTTACTTGCCCTCATATTATTCCAAAAGTGTTTGATATTTTCTTCTGTGGAACATTATCAAAGATATTTTGAAAAATGTTTTTGGCCACATAATTAAAGTCAGTGTGGTCCAAAACATAATGAGACCTCAGTGATCACTAATATTTGGTACAGTGATATCGCTTCTTTAAAGACTAAAACTTTCTGTTTCTGCAGGGTGGTGATGACCTGGATGCCAATTATGTGCTGAGCTCTCGCGTCAGAACAGGCAGGAGCATCTGCGGATTCTGCCTGCCGCCCCACTGCAGTCGTGGAGAGAGAAGAGCTGTTGAGAAGCTCTCTGTGGAAGGTATGTCACTGCAGCAACGTGGTAAACATCGGTTTATTTGAGACAGGATGAAACGTCTGCTGCATCCCAATTTGCATCAGTCCTAAATAGTATTCGTAAGCAGAATTAGTGTGTCCCAAAGCGTAGTATGTTGAAATGAGTTTCCAAAAAGTACCTGGATGGTCTACTATTTCTGGTAAAAATTCAAAGTGTAGATCAGTGTATACTTTAATGGCTGATATTGCCCACAGTCCTTTGCACTTTGGAGGAGGATTTGGTTCAGAACTACAGAAGAATCCTTAGCACGAAAGACCCCGTTTATGGTGTGTCTGCTTATGATCCATAGATGTGGCTATGGCATTGTAGTATGCCCCAAAGTACGCCTAATCTTCTTTGAAACTACACACTCAAAAGTATATTTTTCTTCACAGAGTACATACTTTTAGGGATAGTATGAGTAAGCAAACTGGTATGCAGTATTTATGTTCCTGAAACTTAGGCCTGTTCATGTGGCTCCCTCTAGTGGTGATGAGTATCATCCACTATGACTGGACCAATGTAGTCTATGAAGCTGTAGTCTATGATGATATTTCTTAAGAAATCATTTATTTAAAGATATAGGATTTACTCACAGATTGGTTTGCTCTGTCTGTAGCTCTAGGTGCTCTGACTGGGGATCTCAAAGGAAAATACTATGCCCTGAAAAACATGACAGAGGCTGAACAGCAGCAGCTTATCGATGACCATTTCCTGTTCGACAAGCCTGTGT